AAAAAAAAAAAAAAAAAAAAAAACCAAACAAGATGGCGGAAGACAGACAGGCATGCATCACAACTGAATAAAAACTATTACTTGATTTATGCTAATTCACTTAAGACACTGTTTAGATTATCCATCGTTAAGACCCGCACCTGAATATTCCCTTTCATGACAAGGTCTGCCAGACGAGTGCTGTGGTTTCGTAGGTCCGCCGCCAACTGCTCTTTGGAAGGTGCCTGCGTCGTCTCAGGGATCCCATATCGTAGGATCCAGATCTTCTTGTCTGGCAATTTTCAGTAAGGGTCAGATTTCGTCATGAATTGCGGGCTCTGGTCTTACCACTCTGTAAGCTTAGTTCCCACTCCCAACGATGGATATCATCGGCATTGGTAAAGCGATCCCAATCCCCTGGGGCTGCCAGAATGATGACTTTTGGGACACGTAGGAAGATGTCGGAAATCTGTCGTACTACTTGATCGGGGGTCGTGTTCTTGTTCATTTCCCACTGATCCAACCAGACTTGACGCCTGTTTTTCTCCATCATCTCTGCAACGAGGCGCGCCATAATGCGGCCACGTTCGTACACTCCATCCGGCGAGGTCCATCGGTAGAAGATGATAGAATCATATGTGCGAGAAATAAGCGGATGGGACTTGATATCCGTTGTACTGGGCTCCCAGGGGTGGTGGAGAGGACACAGCGCTTTTTGTTCAATCATAGTATATGTATACTGTGTCGCTGTTGAAGATGTTGAGAGACACTTTTCAACAGTGGAATGAGCCGGTTCATTAATTACACCCGAGCCTGTGTGTCTGCTTTTCTACGGGGATCTTCATGAAGATTGCTAATCCTCAGCCAATGGGTACGAGAGCGTGGAACTCTTTCTCCGCTAAAAATCGCCTGGATCGAACTATTTTCAATCCGTGCATACAGTGGCGCGATGCCTGACCAGTCCTAACAGAGACATCCCGAAGGGTATAGCGCGCGTAGGTAGGAGATTCTCCTTGCACAATTTGCGTGACGCACAGATGAGCGTCCACAGGATAATCATCCAGGGCAGGGGCCGTATTCAGAGCTCAGAGAAGACATGGTAAAGATTACAGTTTATGATGGCACTAAAATGGAATGTTCTCGCGTGCCACTGGAGCTCGGCCAAGTCCGATCGTCAAGCTCAGCCGCGCCATGTCCACAACCTGCATACCTGACCTGATGCTTTTTCAGCTCGACGAACATCATCTTTAAGCGAACCACTCCATAAGGATCTTTCCGCAGTAGACCCACTGTCGATCCCTTGACTCGTCACTGATTGGGTGGTTGGGGTCCACTTCAGCTTCATGTTTGGTTCGGAAGTGTAAGGCAGCTAAGGCTTTCTAGGATACAAGTCCCCTAGCGCGAAGCTAGTAAGGTTAAATGATTAGAGCATACAGGAAATAATCTGCACCACGCATGCTCATGAAGGATAGGAAATTTTTCAAACATTTTGACTATTGGAAACCCCCATGAGCTGCAGCCTTTCCTTTCAACTAACAGGGGTTTTCAGTACACACCGACTTTTCGAATAAGTTTCTTGAATATCAAAATAGAATGTCAGAGTAGAGCCCAATTAGCTAATAGAAAGAGCTCTTTTACTAGTTACTTCGATCTCTACGATTTTGGCCTACCTTAAGAATCCTCTCTAAAAAGTAGATAGATTAGGACTAAGCCGCCCTAATTCCAAGTATAGAAGCGCCCTCTCCAGACCAATTCTGGATTCCATCATAAAATACCAGCAAGATGTCATAAATTTCAGAAGATTCTCACATGTTGAAACCATCATCCCCAACACGATTGTCGGATTCCGTTCAATGTGGAGAACGATCGTATTAGTCCATATGCAGGTGGATTCAGCTCTAGTCTAGCCCGCAAATGTCGAGAGTATTACCCAACCAATCCATTTTCGTGATTTCATTACCCCGGCTTCAATTAATATAATCAGTTATTGGTCCAGGATTTGACGTTTTGTCTTCTGAATCACGACCGATTATGCCCGTTGTGTTCCCTTCGAATTAAATCCGATGGTGACCACTAGTAATCTTCACAGGTTAACAGGGAAGATTCAATCATTAGTGTTGCCTGTCAGTTTCTAAAACGTGGGTACGGATATTCTGATAAGTAGTGCCTCTGTTATACTATTTCTCTATAAAATGAGCAACCTTACTTCATCTCGTCCTGATATGGATCTAGACCGATACAAACGATTGCCTTCCGCTAAATCCCCCCACCCAAGTGGTTCTTTGTGTCTGTATTGGTCTCCATCTCTTTGAGAAAGTCGGGGCTTCATAGCATAATAGAATATGGTAGGTAATGCGTGTAACCGATGTTGTAGTATTTTTATACTTAATACAGGATAGGAACCTAGACATTAGCTTTAGTGTTCTTATACTAATACTTTTGCTTGTACTGTAAGTAGTGTATAACCTCTATTGAGAAAGATCATGTATAGGACGTTTGGAATAGTATCATAGAATTAAACATTTAGAGTTCTAAAAGACAGATAAAGTACGGAGTATATATGGAGGCTTTATAAATAGACCATGATCCACTAGGTCTGAAATACATGCTAGATCAAAAGAGTTCAGTTTAGTGCCCTGTCAGAAAGATCTTTAGGGACTTAGCGTGAAGGCCAAAAAGTGTAAATACACGTTCCGTATCTCATATATTCCCAGAAAAGAGGAGAGAAAGTGCTACTTATTATACAACAACACCAACCCAATACCCCCTAAACCCTAACCCGCTCAAAAAACTCCCCAAGAATCTGATTCACCTCCTCCCTCGCCTCCAATTGAACCCAATGTCCCTCCGTCGAAACCCTCTTTATCACCAAATCGCCAACACAAACAGCCCTCATCCCCTCCTCAAGACCGGGCATCTCCAACTCCAACTTCTTTGGACAAATCAAGAGAGCCGGCATAGACAGCGAGGGCGTAATTTGGGCCTCTTCCTCATCTTCTAAGTTGATATTCGAGACTAGAGCCCGGTACCAGTTCAGTGCTGAGTCGTGGTTACCGACTAGGAGCTTTTGGTGGGTTTTGAATTCCTAGGGTTTGTTGGTTTTGTTTCTGGGTAAATTTTGGTATCTTTGCGGGGAAACGGGCTACTCACTTCTTCGGTAATGTAGGGAGCTAATGGGGCTCGGCGATCGGATAGAAGCCATTTCTCTATTGCTCCTGCTGGACAGAGGTGTGATTTCCATAGTGAGGGTGAGTGGGGGTAGAAGAGCGTAAAGAATGAATCGGCCTGTGTCATTGTTTGTTAGCTTACAGTCCTTCCTTTCATACAGTTCAACCCTAATTCAACCCCAATCCCAATCCCAATCCCTGACCCTAGGGAGAACCAGTACCAGAGACAAAAACCAAAAGAAGATGGAGAAAAGAAAGAAAAACCTACAAACCGATCCAACAACACCCCACTCCCCTCTCCAGCAAAAAATCCCACATACCCAAACCTCTCAAACCCTAAGATATCCCTCGTAACCTTATTAACAATATCCAGATCAAACCTCTCCCCGGGCCTCATATACGGCACGTCCAGGAAAACACACGACAGCAACCTCTCCGGAAAGTAATCCGCCAGTCGAGACAAAAGCGTGCAGCCCGTATCATGTCCCACGGCGTGGACCTTTTCGATCTCCTCTGCGTCCAGGATGGTGATTATCTCCGCGGCCATGGATTTGGTTTTGTATGCGGCGAGGTCAGTGGGTTTGCTTGTGCCTCCGTAGCCGAGGAGGTCCGGGGCGATAACTCCATAGCCGAGTGATGAGAGGTAGGTTATTTGGTGGCGCCAGTCGTAGGATGTTGAAGGGAAGCCGTGGAGGAAGAGGATTGTTGGTTTGGGTTTATTTCTGTTTTCTTGGGGGGATGGGGGGTGGTGGGTGTAGGTGTAAGTGTGTTGGGTATTTTGGGGAGTGTGGGTTTTTGTAGTCATTTTCTCTTTTCCTGGGGGGCTTTGTGGTATTTACTCGTAGTTGTATGTTGGTTGTTGTTTGGATTTTTGAATGATTTGATTCCTGTGGTTGTAGGATCTATATAAATAGGGTTGCGCATGTCAGCGGAGAGTTTCGGAGACTTGGCAGCGCTTATGGTGGGAGGCGTGTCTTGTGATTGGGTTTAGGGATTCTAGAGTTCTGGAGTATGTTTTTGTTTGATGTATAATATATCTGGGTAGTAAACACTTTGAATCAACTAGAGGCAACTGAGGCACATATGGAGATTAGAGAAATAGCCCACTAGGTCCGGGATGCGTGCTAGATCTGTTCCGTGCCCTGTCGGACCTTATTACCCTGCCATGAAGCCCAAATGGCTGAATATCTAGGCTATTCTGGGTCCCCTGTTTATTCCAGGGATAACTTATAAAACTTATAGCAGTTGTGAGATTCCTCTGGAGATGGTAATTAAGGCAAGTATGATAGTATTCGTATAATATTTCTTTATAATGTTTTTTTATTTCTAAAAATTCAACAATTGCGGGGATAGCTCAGTTGGGAGAGCGTTAGACTGAAGTTTACTTCGATCAGAATAACCTATTAGGTTATCTAAAGGTCGCCGGTTCAATCCCGGCTCACCGCAATTACTTTTTCTTTTGAGCCACTGCTTTACTGAGTGAGGTCTTTTTGACTTCTTCTCCCTTTGTCTCTTTTTTTTTTTTTTTTT